GAACAAACGCGAGAGAGAGGGGGGAAGAGATGGACAGACAGGGTTGGACCGAGAATGGAGAAACCGAAGCGCGGGGTCCAGCGGTCTCGTTTCCGAATATTAATTCCAGTCCCGTCATCTCGGAGTCGTCGTCCCGAGTGCGCGCGGGACGAAACGAAAGCCAGGTGCATCGAGACGGATCGAGGTCGTCACGACGTGGATATTAATTGCGATGCGTCGCGTACCGAGAAGGAGAGAAAGAGAGAGAGAGAGAGAGAGAGAGGCGAAAGCGAGGTCTTTTCGATGGCTTCTTCTTATTCCTACGACGTCGATGTCGCCGGTGATTGATTCCGACAAGTATAACCGGACGGCGCGTGTAATCGGAATAATTGACGTCGAATGGAAGCGCGTCGAACAGAAACGATCGTGTACCGATCAGCCGATCATCCCTATATCCCTTCAAAGAAGCAGATACTAGTAGAAACTACGTACGATCTCTGGTCGTCGAATTGGGATGAAGACAGGATGTTCCGTAAGTTTGAACGAAATTCAATCGCAATCTATTAAATAGTAGAATATTAGACACATTGACAATTTTTGGATGTGCGATGATGTCAAATAATTGTCAGAAATCTACATCCTTTGAAGAAGTATCTGGTACAGTCCTTAATCATTGAATTAGGATCATTCGAAATTTTCAATGTTTTCGTAGGAATTTCATTTTAAATTTCAAATTCTAACCTATTAATTACTAATGTTTGATGCACTTATTCGCTAATACATCACTATGTATGATATTAGCCAATCTCTGTGTTGTTTGAAGAAATACTAACATAGTTTCTAATCAGTGACAATGACTTAGGATCAATCAGGATTTTCAATGTTCTATATGTTTCTAGTAGAACTGAATAGAAATTCAATTACTATTTGAAATTACGTATGACATTACTATGTATGGTATCGACCAATCGTCTCTATATCCTTTGAAGAAGAGTACCAGTATATATCTGACCATTGAATTTTCAACGTCGTGCAATTACATATCAATAATTTATATACTACCATAACTGTACATTTATATACATGATATCAGCCAATGTGATCAATCATTTCTTCACGGAATACGAAATATTCCGATCCTGGCTATTGAATTAGGATCACTCAGAATTTTCAACAGTTTTTAGTGAAACTAAAGTGAAGTGAAACACTGTTTGAAAAATGTTTGAAAGAAATAATTTATGTCTCTTGAAGAAGTACATGAACGATCCATAACTGTTGAATCAGGATCATTCAGAATTCTCAACGTTTTGTGAAACTGAATTTGAAATGAAATTGAAATATTTAAATGAAATTCAATTACTATTTATTACACGTCAGAGTATTAGACACGTATTAATAACATGTGTATATTACATCGAGCGTAGATCATTCAACGTAGATTGTATATAAAATCGTTTTAACAAAATTGAAATTTAATCACAATTTACAATTTATCAGGTATCAATGTACACATGTATAAATTGGTACATGCATTATTGCAGAGTATAGCTTATACAGCATTTATTGCGAGCAATAGAATTACTGTGTGTCGGAGAAATTCACCTTGTATCGTGAAAGAGAAAAGTCAAAAGTGTTTGTGCAGGGAATAGCAACATGTGTATATATATATATATAAATATGCAATTCCACGTATATTGTGCGTATACACTGTGTGCAGACTTCATCATCGACAATTGATAATTAGTGAATTCTACTGAAACGTTGGAAACTGCCAGTGGTCCTAGATCAATTGGGGTTGGCCAGAGGATGGAGAGAGCGAAGCCGGAAAAAGTAGCGGAGGCTAACTAACCAGCGAAGCAGCTGGATACTTTTGACGCGCGAAGGCTCGAAAGGCCCTATTGTGCGTTCGGGCTTGAAAGGCTCGGGGCCGGGATCGGTGGCCGCGATACCATCTAGCGAGATCGAGCGTCGTCCGCGAGGCACGATCGCGGCGAATTAAGAACGGCCAGAGGCTAACCGCCGCCCCGCTGGCAGGTGCTTGTGGACCGTATTATTCGCCGCCTGCTTATCGTTCGCCCTCGCATAAATCCAACGCGGAACAACACGCGACTTCGCCGCGAGAATCACGATCCACGGATCGCGGCCCGTGTACCTGCGGCTCGTTCCGCGAACGTCTGTCTGTCTCTCTCTCTCTCTCTCTCTCTCGCCCCTCTTGCCGTGCCTGTACTTTCGTCCCTCGGCGAAAATTTTTCTTCCCTCGAAAGCCGAACGATGATGCTCGCGATGCTTGGTTGGCTGCGGCCATACCTGCTCGAGTGACGACCGCTGTTCTTTCTCTTCTCTTTTCTCTGTCTTTATTGCAGAACGATGTTTATGGAGATTCGTACGTTTTTTGAGAATGTGTAAGAAAATGATTGATAACGAGAGATGCAAAATGACGCACCACATGTAGTGGGTAAAAAGTGGTGGGTTTTAGCACGATGGAAACCCGTGGTTGTTGTTGTGTAATTTTTCGAAAAGTTGATGTGGAACGTTTAGTAATAGAGGAAATTCGATTGCCAGTGGATTAATTGTAATTTTTATTTAAAATCAACGAACGCGGGTGATTCTAATTGAGTTCATTTACAAGCTCATTTATATTCTTTCAGAAGAGCGAAGTTCCACTATTTTCATACGAGATCTGTTTAATAAAAGAGTAATTTATTTATGAATATAAGTAGCGTATAAAAGAAAGTTTAACATTGATATTCTGCGTGTAACAAATATGATTGTCGTAACATAAATGAGCTTATGCATTCATTTTCCTCGTCGATTACAATTCAGTTTCTTCTAGAGGTTACCAAAATATTCGACACACGTATTTTTACACTCTCTCTATAATTTAAAATTAATTTAAAATAATTTATACTTTTATATAAATCCGTATAAATATTCTCAGTCTGCCTATAAAAATATACCTATCGAATATAAAATTTTTATACTTATAAATGCAAAACTTAAATATAAAACTTTCATAAATATGAACGATATAAAATTTTCTATATAAAAGGATATGTGATCTCGTCTAATCAATTAAGGAATATGTGTAAAATGGATCAATTCTCCAGCTAGAAAAATTCAAGCTCGGTCAACAATAGAACGACGACAATGCAACAAAGAAAATTGTACAATCTCAGAAAATCTATTTGTTTGTTCTGGGTCGATATGATATCGTTCGAAATCGAAGTTTAGAAAATTAAAGAAGAAACGATTGTCCACGTTTTCGCAGTGTTTCTCTCCCAAGTATGTAATTCGTGATAGCTCGTTCATCAAAAAAGATGATATATAATATAATATCATAATAAAGACGACTCTGTGCTTGTTTGTATTTTTATTATATTTGGTAAAAATGCTTCTAAAACGATTTTTCGCGAGTTGCCTATTTTCTCTATTCCCTGCATTTTCAAGTTTTGCTCGAGGATAACAAACGTGGAATAGTAACTGTATGCGCTTTATCCTGTTCTTTACATTTTCATTTCATTCCATGACACAAAATTTGCACATCAATAGTGATGAAACTGAATAATATTAAAATCAGTGGTCATTAAAGACTGGTCAAAACTATCAATTAAATTATATTTAAGATACAAGATAACGTTGTACCTTAAATATATACTTTTATTTCAATATCTATTTCCTCGATATAAATTTAACACTTCGATCGGTTTCTATCGTACAAATTTAATTTTCACTTGTAACCTGTAAAACCATTTCCTATTTCTTGCATCTTCGCTTTTGCGATACGATAGTTTTATACTTGAGCAGTCGGTAATTCTACTGTTTAAGCATTATCGTACTCATTCATCCACGTCAAAGAATCGTCCGTCCACTCGTCGATTCTCTCTCTCTCTCTCTTCTCGAATCAACGAAGCCAGTTGGGCCGCTTTCGCGATATCGCTTACCCGGTTTCGCCCGGTCCTCCTACGGTCGTCGACGGAAATAGACGATACGCGTAGCAATAAATATCTCCGTATTATAATTAAGCCGCATCCTCTCGCGTGGCATAGGCCTTACGTACGCAGAGACACGCAGATAGATGGACGACCGAACGTGAGAGTGCTACCCGGTTCGTCACGATCTAACTCGACCAACGAATGACACGATCGTTCGTACGAGAGGAAGAAAGAGGTACAAAGAGGGTTGAGAAACGCGAGGGAGACGGAAAATCTCTCGACGAGCCAGAGCGGATCAGGGCATCTCTCTGTCCGAGATCGAGATCATTTCGAATTTAAATTCGAATCACTTTCGATCGCTTTCGACGTTTCGATATCCCGGCAATGGGATCCGTGATGAAGATTCAGCGTTCCTTCGTGCTAATATCGAGTATTGTATTAAAGAAAACCCAACAAGTCGGATACTTGTCATTGTTAAAAGTTTCAAGGTAGCCAAGATATGATCGAGACCTCCAAGACATCCAAGATTATTATTATATCGAGACTTTCGGGAATTTCAAACTTCGCATATTCACATTCGAAGTGATTTGAACTTTTTTTCTTTCTCTTTTTTTATTTGAAAATAGGACGAGATATATCTTGTTTCTGAGATACGGTCAAATTTCTGCCTTTCAATAATTCTTTTGACATACTCTGATGTACTTTGTGTCGCATAAGAATTCGAAATTTGTAACGTTCCTACGATCAATCGTGTTTCATCGTTCGTAACATTGACTATTTAACAGAGTCTTGTGAGAATGTACATACTATGACATTAATTAGGGATATAAAAGCTAATAAAAGCTCTGGCAACGTATTGTCGAGGATTGCCAACAAATTCGGACAATAGCAGGCAGCGTCGAGGAAATCAGAGCCTCAGTAATAAGAAGATGCACTTCGAGCATGCAATTTCTGCGAAACGAAAAGTTCAACAATTCGTGCAATAATAGAAAAATTGAAATTAAATTTCTAGAAGATTTAATTATTCTTTTTCTTTTTCCTATCATGTCTAACCAGCACCAAATTGAATTTAATCAACTTATTGAACTCACTGTTAGATCCTCTAATTAAAATCAATCATCGGAAAGTAAAATTGCTTGCAATTCATTTATTCTTAGATATTCATATATATATATATATATATACCTGTGTATTCTTCATTCGAATTACCGTCAAAGTTGAACGAAACTCTCATTCGTACAATTTCGTACGGGAACACGTGCGAACAAACTGAACAAATTACTGCAGAAATATTAAAGGGCCGCCACGTTGCTGGTTGAATCTAACGATTCAACGATTTAACAATAAATGAGTAAATTCCATTTAATATCTTTCTGCCTCGCCGTCGACGAGGCGGTGCTCTGAAACAGCCTGTAGAAACACTGGAACTCGAGAGAGGTGTCTGAAATCCCATCGACCGATCTGGAGGAACGAACGGGCCGCGCGCTTAGCAACCCGTAACTCGTCGTAGTTATCGGCGGTGGACAGTTATATCGACGCGGTTGGTTGGGCCGCGTTTTCAGCGGCGTGGCGGCCGGCGGAGCCAGCCAACGAAGCACGGGGAACGAGCACGGCCTTGTCAGCCCGTCCGGCACGTCCGTCTGTTGCTCCTTGAGTGGCAGCGATTCATTCCGCTCTCCTTACACCACGTACACCACAGGCTCGCTCCCTACCCCACACGTCTTCCTCTCGAGAGCCAAACGAACCAACACAACACACACATCGGACGCCGTGTGCGTGTGTGTGCACGTTCGCGCGTCCTGCGGCCGATCTCCGGGGCTTGGCTTCGCCGTGCCAACAGCCAAGTTTCACTCTCGCCCGATTTCCACGTTGCACCGCGTTCTGTGCCACGTAACTAAACGCGTGTGTTCAACGCGTGTTCCTTTCTTCCTGCGTTTCGCTTTTTTCCTCCCCCGAACTTTCCGCTCAACCTGGCTCCTCTGACGGAAGTCTTCGGATCGGATCTCCATCCATTTGACGTACCTGTCTAATTGTGAGTGGTTGTGACATTGCCTACGTTATTTATCGTCAAATGACGATTCGATTCTAGAGTATAGCTAGTTTCCTTCTGAATTACAGTTCTTTTACTCGATTCCTTGGAAACGCGCGTGCAGTGTTTTGTAAATATAAATATGCAGAAAGTAGAACATTGGATTAGATAGAAATTTCGTGTCCCAAGTATGCGCAGAAGTGTTACAAGAATGACTGTAAAAAGGGACGAATAAGAGTGAAAT